TATGTAAAAGCTTTAAACTTTAGGAAAGATACATTCCAAAAGACTGAGAGCAATCATTCTCAATGTCAGGAATGAATGATTTTATGTACATTGTATTGTTTCTATAATTAACATAAAATACATATCTATACTTTATGTATATAATATATAAATATAATATATAAAGGATGTAATTATTTCAAATTTTATTTTCCTATTATTTCAAACATCATGTTACTAGTGTTTATCATGCGCAAAAAGAGTAGAATAAGAGAAAGAAGAAGAAATAGGAACAGAGCTGAAGACATGAATTTGGTTTGTCTTTTAGCTCCTCAAAAGAAGACCAGGACTCATGAAAGTTGTCACAGATTCTCCAAGTTGCTCCTCACCTCATTCATAATTCTTTTACTGCTATTGAAATTCTTATTCTCAGTTGCTCTGATCAGTAAGTATGCTCCTGGGAGAATTAAACACAGGGAAGGAGAGGGACTCATTAGACAGATGGTGACCCAGAAACCTGAGACAGACACTCTCTGGATAGATGGATGACATTGGGAATTTCCCTCTGTTTCAGAATAACTCTTCTGTAAAAGTTATTCAGTCTCAATGGAGAAGCATGTATGAGTTTGTTGGTGTCACAGAGTGAAATCCTGGGGCATCTGTGTTAGGCTCCAGTACTGAGGATGAATCTGTATTTCCTCAGCAGCATTTAGAAGCCAGATCCATTGGATGAAAAGATATTTATGTTTTTGAATGAGCAGGGTGATGAGAAGAGATGGCCAGAGCTATTCCAGGGACAGTGCTCCTGTGGAGTTCCTTCTAATCATTTGTTTTTGTTCCAGATCATGTGAGATCTGGAAGCTATTTAGAAAATAGGTGATTTCTCTATGGATTGGCTTTGAAATTTATCAAAAATAAAAAGCATAAACTATATTTTTATGTAGATGTTTATTCATTCATGCAATAATTAATAATATCTGTTTACTATATATTGGGCAGCATGTAGAGAGTCCAGAAATAGCTACAGTCCCCAGTCTCAGGAAATGTAGAGAACAGTTAAATGAAGCAGTGCTTAGAAATTGCATGGGAAATGCTGTGCAGGTGAGGAGTAAGAAGTAAGCACAGAGGGCTAAGAAAAGCTTGGAGCAGATGACACCTAGTCCTGTGTGTGCCAGCAATGTCCTAGACATGTGGAGGCATGGGAAATATGGGCAAATATAGGTGTATATTATTGTCATGTGTAGTGCTACATGGGGAACTAAGTATGAAACTGTAGGGAGCAGACAAAACTGGACCTAGATCACAATATAGGGCATACTATATCACACAGGTATCCCCTCTAATGTAATTTTATTTAGTAGGTCTTGCTGAACCATTAACCAACTTAAAACTTAGTAGGTTAATTGAACTGTTTATTTAATTCTTTCTTGGTCGTTTCACAGAGACTGGTCTCTCTTTGGAGATTCCTATGGTCCTAGGTGAACTTACTCATTTTCATGGAGTCATAAATCAGTAACAGACAACCCAGCTTCCTATGGCAACTTCAGTCTTTCAGGATGGATGGTGGCAGTAAGCCAAGCCCAACATGGTGCATGCACACATTTGCCTTTGTGTATTTTAGTGGCCAACGAACTCTTAACAGCAGCTCAGATGAGGTGATGTAGAAATAGACCAGTCCCTTGAGTAGGGAACTGCAAAGGCATAGTCTAAATGGATATTTATATAGGGAAGGTTGAGAAGTGTGTCCAGTTTTTCAATGTGCAACAGTCGTGGAGATCCTCTGATGAATCTGAAGCAGGCCATGATAAAATTAAAACTGACTTAGAGAAGTGTGCTTTTACAGAGGTGTTAAAACGAAGGGAAGCAGGGAATTAGGACACTAATTCAGAATCCATTTGAGCAGTACTAGGGGTTTGATCCAAGGATCATGCTAGTGATACATAGGAGAGAAGATAAGTTGGACCAAAAGGAGGTGACGTTTTGGTCAATATGAATAGCTGAGAATAGGGGACACAGAGGAGTGAGGTATGACTTTAATATTCTGTTTTCATAAAGTCAGCCATCATGAAGTTATTTGAAGAGGAAGAAGATGAGCAGCAGGTTTGAGTTGGAATATGATGATTTAAGGTCTGTTTGTTCACCTAAGTCTCAGATACACAGTTTAGTGATACATATTAACATATTTTAGTAAAGAGGTGTACATTTTAGAAGACCTTTGCTTACAGGCAGCAGATAACAAAAACAGATTAAAAAACAAAACAACCACTTCTACTCCCCACCCCCACCCCAACAACCCAGGACAATGAATATCACTAAGGAAGAGGAATTTGGAGGAGAAAGAGAGATGCAGAAGGAATTGGATGCAATGTTCCTTTTTAAGAGAGGTGGGTGTAGAAGGAAACAGGTAGGAAAGACAGGAAACAGCAGCAAGCAGGACCAGGCAAAACAGGAAGGAGCCACTGTCTCCCAACAGTTAAGGAGGAAGAGAAGTGGGCAGGGAAATGTGAGAAGTCCCACAGGAAGATGACTGATCAGTGGACATGAGGAGCCATTGACATCTAGTTCAGGAATGTTTGGTAAATTAGCAGAAGTGAAAGCCAGAATCTAGAGACTCCAGGAACAAGTGGGAGATGAGGAAGAGAAGAACGAAAATTCAATTTCTCAAGGAAAGGTGAGTTAGTTTTAAGTTAGGAACTCCATGAAAGTGTGGGGACACTTAGAAGTCAGAGCTAGCTGGGGTGGAGGGAGATACAGGAAAAAGAGGACAAAAACAAAGTCCTTTTGATCAGTGTCCGGCTTTTATTATTTCCATGCTCAGGTAACCTGGAACTGCTCATTTTGTTTCTACAAAGAATGTAAGAAAGTAAAAGTAAAGAGTCAAATGTCAGCACTACCAGAAAAATGAATTGTTTTTATTCTGTTTTGCAGCTTTGTTTAAAAAATATTCTCAGCTTCTTGATAAAAATGCAGTCATAAAAGAACTGAATTACACTGAGTTGGAGTGTACAAAACAGCATTCACTCTTGAAAGGTAAAACTTAACATGTCTAAAATCAGCATTTCCAACAAGATTCTGGGGTATTTCCATCAGCAATGGGCACTATGGGAACATGACTTCATACCACACACTCAGTACCAGCTGCCTGTGGAGTCCTTTTTAGAGGTCTCCAAAGGGCATAATTGGAATTGTGTGGCCTCCTAGTGTCAACAAAGAAGAGTTTCAAAGAGGGAGAAGCAATACTAGGCTGAGCAGAATTTTATTAGAAACAGAGGGGAGTTCCAGCAAATCTGATGCCAAGAATGTGAGCATCTCCAGAGAGTCATGCTCAAGGGTGTATGTTTAAGATTTCATTTTTAGTTAATACACGTATATATGCACGTGCCTGTGTGTGGGTTGGTGTATGTGAGTGCAGTGCCTGCAGAGGCAGAAGAAGATCCTTGGAGCTGGAGTTAGATGTGGTTGTGAGTCACAGGTTGTGGGTGCTGGGAACTGAACTCTGGTCCTCTGTGAGAGCGGTACACACTCTTAACCACTGAGCCATTTCTGTAGTCCCTCAAGTGTTTTCATAAGTATGTGTGTAATGATCTTGTTGTGTGCGTGCGTGCGTGCGTGCGTGTGTGCGTGTGTGCGTGTGTGTGTGTGTGTGTGTGTGTGTGTGTGTGTGTGTGTGTGTGAGATGATCATGTTCCATTCTCAGTTACAGTGTCTACAAAGTGTAATTTACTCAAGATTTGAATAGAGAACTTGTTTTTCTAGTAAACTAAACTGGAAGGTGGACTGATGAACGTGTATTACTTAGATTTAGGAAAGAGAGGGGAGTGTTTAAGGCTATCCATCACTTTGGCCCCGAGTAAGCAAAGATTCTCGACTGTCTTTGACACCTGTAATGGAGATGTCTTTGGAATACAGCGTCTGGCCCTAAATAGACAATTTGTTTACTGTCTTTGTCAACAGACCTTTTGGGAAACACATGTTTCCCTGGACCATTTGAACTTGTCTGGGGTTCCTGCCTTTCTCAGCAGATCTCTCTCTCTTCACTCACTGCATCCTTTGCTCTCAAGACGCCTGCAGTCTTACTCAGGGAGTCTTTGCCTATGCCTACATCTTGATCTGCTGTCTTTATTTTTTTTTTGTAACAATTCCAGGGTTCCAAGCCTCACAGTAATGTGTTTAATCCATTTAGACTCTATTTTAGAGTCAATTTTCACACAGAATGGCTATGGATTTAGATTCATTCTTCTGCATGTTGGTACCTAGTTTTCCCAGTACAATTTGTTGAAGAGCCTATCTTCCTCTGATATGTATTGTTTGATGAAAAGTCCAGTGGTTGTAGCTGTGTGGGCTTTTGTTTGTGGTTCTTTTTTGTGTTCATTGATC